TTTATTTTTCCTTTTTTTTGGTTTTTCAATTTCGTTTTTTTTTTTCATCTTCTTCCTCTCTTTTTCCTTGATTTAAAAAAATAAAAATAAAAAATTCATCTTCGTCTTCGTGTGTCCCTGAAACCCTAACCCTAAAATTCCACAGCTGGTTATATAAAATCTCGGATTCTCCTGTGTCTCTTTGTGTTGTGTGAAGAAGAGGATGCAACAGCAGAGGCTCAAACAACAGCAAGCCATGATGCAGCAGTCGCTGTACCAACACCCTGCCATCTTAGCCGCTCCTCAGGTTCTTATTTTCCCCTCTCTCTCTCTGTTTGAATAATTTTGTAGTTTAATTATCGTCTACATGCCCATTTATTTTGTTGGAAATTTTTTATAGGTCAAAATTGATTTTTGATTTTAGTTAAACTGCAAAAATTCGAGATGTTTGACAAAATGTTGGTTTATTTCCATTGTTAATATGTATTTGCGGGCTTTTTTTGGTTGATCTGCGTATGATTTTCTTTTACGGTGATCCTAAGGATTGAATTTTTGGCAGAAATTTTGTAATTTTTTGGGGGTTCTTCTGGAATTATCTAAATTATTCCGCAGCTTATTTATCTTGTTGAAAGTGTTCGTGTTATGTTGTCTTCTTTTTGGGTACTTTTTTTTTATTATCCATGGAGGAATCACATTGTTATACCTATAATATGACAAACTCTACTGTTCGGAAACTTGTAGGTTGTCCTGCTTGATATTGTTTCCTTGTTTTTTTAATCCATTATTCAACGAGGGCATATAAAGTTTGCATAATGAACAGAAGGAACAAGATCAGTTTTGGTTTGATTACCATTCACCCTTGAGCAAAAACCTTAGTTACTATTACATATAATGGTTCTATGTGCTTCATCCTATTAAAAAAAAATTAACGGGGTTGGCCTTTTTATGCTTTGGATATGTATTAAAGCTTATGTTAAGTCTCGGGAGAAATTGAAGATGAAGGGGATTGTTATTATATCATAGGTTTCCATCTTGTAGATTTATGCAATTGAAGACTGTGGTCTTCATTTTTTTTGTTTCAACCATTTTGTTTGCATATGCATCTCGTTAAGTTTTTGTGAGGAGTGCAAATTCATTACTCTAGGTTTTTTTCTTCTTTTTTGCTTGTTTTTTTTTACATTTTTATTTTGCAGATAGAGCCTATCTTGAGTGGAAATCTGCCTCCTGGGTTTGATTCAAGTACATGCCGCAGTGTGTGAGTGTTGTATAGACATTTTCCTTTGTTCCTTTTTTGTTTATTTTATTTTCACATCTAGGTTTCTTTGAACTGACTGAAAATAATTGTTTTCTTGCATGCAAGTTTAGTTCATAAATATGTACTGAGTCCTTGTATGTTTTGACACACCTATCATGTAGGCAGACTACATTTCTCAATCATGCTATTGAATTGTATGATATAATATTTTAATTTGTGGGAAAATGCAGGTATGTTGGAAATATTCACCCACAGGTTACTGAACCCCTTCTTCAAGAAGTTTTCTCTAGTACTGGTCCGCTTGAAGGATGCAAGCTCATAAGAAAAGATAAGGTGGAGTTTATTTTTGCCTATTTTGTTTGCCTTTCATTTGATGGGGAGGTTAGGACAGATGGTAGAACATCTTAGTGCCACCAAAGATTCCATCTGTTTGTTGTGTTAAGCCTTATAGCCCTCACCCACATTTATTTGGATTTTATTTTAGGATAAGCTGTAGCTTCATATGATTAAATTCTGATAAAGATTTTGGTAATCTGTATTAGTGATCTATTAGATGTTCCTTGGTGAACGTTCTACTTACATGTTAGCTCCATTGTCTTCTCTATGCAGTCATCCTATGGATTTGTTGACTACTTTGATCGTAGGTCAGCTGCTTATGCTATTGTGACTCTCAATGGCAGGCATCTGTAAGTATAAATCTTAACAGAATCATAGTTGGCTCTCTTTTTGGGGAATCCTTTGTCTCAATATGCTTCTTATTCAGGTTTGGGCAGCCAATCAAAGTTAATTGGGCATATGCAAGTAGTCAGAGGGAGGATACATCAGGTTTGTACATACATCAGTTTTCAGGGAGTGATGTGTTACTTTCAAATTTTTAATTTCTTATGCTATGTTATTTTGGCATGCAGGTCACTTTAATATTTTCGTTGGTGATCTTAGCCCTGAGGTTACTGATGCTACACTGTTTGCGTGCTTTTCTGTTTATTCAAGTTGTTCGTAAGCTCCATTTCCTTGCTTTTTTCTCGAACAATTCTTGTTTTCCGTTATTCTCTTGATGTCTTTTGGTTTATTGGGATTTTTTAAAACAGACTCACCTGTTTTAACTTTAATATAATTTGACCTGATTTCTATCACAGAGATGCTAGGGTTATGTGGGATCAGAAAACTGGGCGTTCAAGGGGTTTTGGGTTTGTTTCTTTCAGAAGTCAGCAGGTACTAGAATTCTTAAGAATTCCTTTTTATAATTTTCTTTTTATTTTCCTTCTTGGTGGTTGGGGTCATTACATGATTGTGTCATTTATTTGTTCTTTGGTTCAGGATGCCCAAAGTGCGATAAATGACTTAAATGGTAAGACAGTGTCCATTGTTTATTTCCTTATACGTGTTGCTTAGATTTTTGTTAATTTAGGAGCAGTGCTGGATCTCTTGTAGCTGTTGGTTTGTTGTTAACTCTCTAACTGTTAAGTTGATATCTCAGGAAAATGGCTTGGAAGTAGACAAATTCGGTGTAATTGGGCCACAAAAGGTGCTACTTCCAATGATGACAAGCAGAGTTCTGATTCTAAAAGTGTTGTAGAGCTGACAAATGGAACATCAGGTGAGCTACCCCATTATTGATGAAACAAGTTTTTTATAATTGTCTATGTAGTTAGTGGAAGTAAAATTGTTTCTGTCAAGTTGTCAACTTTTTTTTTCTTCATTGTCTGTATCATTTATTTGGATGGTTGGTGTGGCTCTTGTGATTGTTGTTGAATTGTTGTTAGAAATCTATGGATGATGATGCTTGATATATGATCCTCACTGTCCTCTCTTTTTGCCATATTTTTTTTCTCGTCACGTTGAGCTTGCAATTTTTGTGCTTTTCCCTTGCAGAAGATGGTCAGGAGAAGCCTAATGAAGATGCTCCAGAGAACAATCCTCAGTATACTACAGTTTATGTGGGCAATCTGGCTCCAGAGGCAAGGATTTTTTTATATTTTTATATTTTTAAAACTCATACATTAATATGTTTGGTCATTTGTCAATCTTACTGTGTAGCTGGTTCAGTGTTGAAACTGGCAAACAAAACAATTCTATAACGTCATAGGTTAATTGGGTGTAGTGGTAAGATCTGTGGGCAATCAGCTCTGGTGAGCCTGGAACTCCTAAGTGGGCATAACAAATAATTGTATAAAATTTGTCAAATTTGCACAAGAAACAAAGAAAAATGTTTTAAATCTTATTTACTATTAATCTGCAGGTTACTTCAGTTGACCTCCATCGTCATTTCCATTCCCTTGGTGCTGGAACTATTGAAGATGTCCGCGTGCAACGAGATAAAGGTTTTGGGTTTGTGAGATACAGTACACATTCTGAAGCTGCTGTAGCTATCCAGTTGGGGAATGCTAGGTTTCTCTGTGGAAAACCAATTAAGGTATGCTATTGGTGAAGATTACAATTTAGTATAATCAACAACAATTGACTAAAAGAAGAAGCCATGTTGAAAAACTAATATATACACACAAAAATTTGTTTGTGACATTTATATTTTCTAATGATGATGTTGTCAAATGATCAATTGGCTTGATCATCCTATATTTTTCTTTTTTGGTTACAGTGTTCATGGGGTAGCAAGCCTACTCCACCAGGAACAAGCTCTACCCCCCTTCCGCCGCCAGCTGCAGCTCATATGCCAGGTTTCTCAGCCGCTGATCTTGCTGCCTATGAAAGACAAATGGCACTGAGCAAAATGGGTGGTGCACAAGCCCTCATGCTTCCGCAGGGTCAGCATGCTCTGAAGGCAGCCATGGGTATGGGTGCTGGAGCTAGTCAGGCGATATACGACGGTGGCTTCCAGAATGTAGCAACAACCCAGCAACTCATGTACTACCAGTAATGATCAGTTAGAAGACCCCCATTATACCTCAGCACTGAGGAATAAGTACTTGAGAAAACTTGTAGGATATGTAACCGTTTTTCAGTTTCTTTATTTATCTTTTTTTTTTTTGGGGTTAGTTTTTCATTGGTTAGATTGGCGTATCTGTATCACTTATACCTGATATATGTATGGATACTGTGTTTTTCTTGTTTTTTTACTTCTGGGGGTTTATGATCTGACTCAGATAAAGCATAATCTTATTTGCAGCTTTATGACCTAACGACCGATTATATTTAAAGCTTGTTTTCGGGTCTCCTCAGGCATTTTCTAGCAATGTATTTTCGTCCACGGGCTGTTAACCATTTCCATCACCAGTAAAATGGTCCCAATGGACGACAGTGTCTTGATAGTTTCAAGAGCTCCGGTTGGTAGGACCACAAGATTTTTAGGACATGGGTGCTCTCTGTAGCTGGACAGTTCATTTTGGGGGGTCACTGTGTAATTCCCTTTAGGTTAAAGTCTTCAATGGGTCCGAACCGATCGATGAGAAAGCTTTAAATGCTCTTTTCAATCTATTCCATTACATATTGTACCAAGCACTATTTTGTAGAATCATTCCATTACTGTACGAAGCACTAGGCAGCACATTCGACAAAAAGATTTGTACCCCGTGTCCCCCGTTTAGAGATTACCAGATTTTGAGAAATGTTAAGAACAGTCGTCGTCTACAAACTCGAATGGATTAGAAATACGTTAACAAGAGGACATCAAAATTGAGTTAGGATTAAAGTTCAAACGCCACAACCCGCTGCAAATTACTGGCTGGAATGAGATTATTATCGCATGTTATTCTGGGCTAGTATCTAATTTAATTGGCTTAAATCTTACATGAAACGCTAAATCCAAGTGTAACTGAAGTCTAAGTATAGAATTGTTCTTTATTCTTAAAAAATGTTCCCGTTGTCATCACAGAATACAAAGGTCGATCGATTACAACTTATACCCAAAATTTTGCATTTTTTCTTTTTCTTACTTTTTTGGTTCATAGGTAAACAAAAAGCTGATAGTTCTCATCTATATGTATTTAGTGTAAAGCCGCCTATGTACTGACAGTGCTAAATAACAAGAATCCCAGTTGAGAAGATCTGATCTCTTGAACAAGATGACCCTGAAACTTCCACAGATCTTAAAGCTTCTGATCTGCACCGTTCTTTGCTCTCATCCATCATCATCTGCGTTGCTCTGCATTCTGTGCTGCAAAACGCACACTCTCCTCTGTAAACCACACAGAAAACATATATTAATCACAAACCCAACATCAACTTCAACAACAAAAAACAACATGGGTTGAACCAAACATTTACAATGAAACATAAACAAGAAAAAGTAATTGTGGTTCTACCTGTACATGTATATGTCTTTGCCATGGAGGTTTTTCTTGCACAAGTGGCATGAACTGAGAAAATCCGAGGTGGGAAAAACTGAAGCAAGATTGTTATCATTACATGTCTGCAAATCATCCCCTACATGGTGGTGCATGGAACTGGTATTGCAGTCACCTCCATCATAGTAAACCCTAGTGAAAGACTTGTTTTGTCCACGCTGAGTCACATAAGTATAATTCTCCAAGCTATCTTCCTCAAACTCCTGGAGACCCCTGGTTGAAAACCCATCACAGTTTTGAGCAGAGCTTACAGGAATTGGCTCTGATTGGTTCAGGTTTTGACCACAAACCGCATACTTGGGCAAAATCTCACGCCCATTATGGCTCGACTTTTCCAAGGCAGCAACTATGCCCAACCCAACACCACCAAGATCATAATTCTTCAACCCTCTGGGGCTAGAAGATTGCATCTTGAGGTCCAATGGACTTCTTGGGCTTGTCGTGCCCATGTCGAAGAAAAACCCGGCACGGTGGCCAGAAACTAGCAATTCCGACAGCTTCCCGATCATTGGAAATGGTCTCTTGCCAAACTTCAACATAAAAAATTTTGGGTTACCAAAATTGTTATGAAGCAAAATGAAATTGAAGCGGTTTGGAAATTGTCCCCTTGAGCTATTTTGCACAAAATGTGTGTTTTAGGGTCTTCGGTATATGAAGGAGAAGTGGGTAGGACTCAGCCCATGGTTTGGTTTGGAATTATATGGGTGATGATTGTTTTTCAAACACCCATGAAATCATTGAGTTGCTTTACTTTTTTTCTTTTCTTTTCTTTTTTCTTTTTTTAAATATAAAATTTATTACAAAACTGATTCCAATAAAGGTCACTTGTCAATAGGCCAATTTTTTTAGAAAATGTCCTTTTCCAATTATTGGGGCCACATGCTTAGGGGTGTGGCCCGTGTGGCCCACCATAAGATTCCTTGGGCATTGTCACCGTTGGACTCGTCGCACGTGTCGACGATCCAAGGCTATTGGGCATGGCAATTATTACTAAACCACTAAAGAGTTATGTGAGCCCACTGAAAACTGAGGGCCCACTAATGGCAGTGAAAGTGATGCGGGCCTGGTTTCTTGTTTGCAACACTAAATGTCTAGACTACCCTTGCTTTGTGATATTCCCATCGAAGGACAAAAATACATTTTGTTTTGAGCATTAGCTGTCTTCTATGTTTTATATTCTTAAATTTTAATTGGGCAAGTAAAACGTGTAACTTTCATTTCATGTGTAAATTTCGCATTTCTTTGAGAAGAAGTGCGGTGAGTATACACTTTGAATTAAAGTTACGAGCTAAAATATTTTCAATAATAAAGAAAATCTTCAAAGAAAAATTAATTTTATTGTATCACAATTGAGTTAAATGAAGAATTAATTTATCGATATATAGAATTTAAAAGAAATTATCACCATTTCATAGGCTTATTATATTGTATGTATTTTTACTGAAAAAAATACCGTAACTTTTAGTATTATATTAATTATGATCTTAGTTATTACCGTCTCCAAGATATTTTAATCAAATAAATTATAATTTTGTCTTCAAATGCGTGCCAAGCTCCTGTGGTTGGGATTCTGAAAAATTAGTTAAGCTTTGAAATTTTTAAGGGATTTTTTTATTGAATTTTTTTTATGAGGTGAAATTATTTTATTTATATTTTGGATAATGAAGTAGGTTTGGGGAACACCAATAGAATTGTACTAGAAGAAAGGGAAAGGCTTACTATTATATTAACTAGGAGTCTAGGACAATAAACAATACTGGTGTGCGTAATTGTATTGAATGTCAGGCCCAATATGGGGATTTCATATTAGAGACGCTTTTGTCATAAGCGGAGAAAGCTCCAAAAACATCAATAAACCAGAGGGGGCCAGAAACCATAAGTGGCGGTCTGTGATTAGACGGCTCAGGTGGAGCCACGTGGAGCTGAAGTTGTGTATTATTGCCTGTGGCCGGAGTAAAACCGCAGTCGCCAGTCACGAAATTGACAATGACCTCAGAAAGAATCATTTTTACAGGCGAGGCGAGGGCGTCAAGATGTTTGATGGCATTCAATTATTAATTACAATCCAATCCAAACCAAAAAATAAAAGATTAATACACGCAATAGTGTAAGAGCATGTTCGGAAGAACTTTTGGAATGACTGAAAACAAATTTTTTTATTACTAAAAGCACTTTTAATTGCATTTGACAAAGCAAGTTAGAAGAATTTATGAGTCATAAAAGTGTTTTTTAAAGAAGTATTTATGCCGTGCTTCTTTAGAAAAGTGCTTATTGTAAAAATAGATCCAATGGGCCTAAATTACTCTAATTTGAGAATCGAACTTCCGTGTAAAGCGACGTAAACACTACCCCAGCAAACGTCTGCAACTTCAATTGTTTGTTTTTTATTGTTGGTGTGAGATGCAAGATGTTGACCGCCACCAATTAGTTTTACTTTCACCTTAATGTTTGAAAGCGATCTAAACATTGTCTTTGTATGGACTTTGCCAATCTACTCTTGTATAGACAAATTGATCAACATCATCACCTCTCTTAACTGACCTAAAGTGTATGGATCACATCAGAGCCCGGGCAAGGCCCATTTTGATGAATGGTCCGGACTGATAGGCCCCAGGACGTGTAAGACCGTGCTGATAGTCTATGTTTTTCCTAAATAATGATTTCCAATTTATGCTTGATATAACAAACTAGAAACAGTTTAATCTTATAATTACATGTTCCAAAAACGAACAAATTCGAGACGAAATTGATGTATGGATTAACGTGAAGGATGATCCATGTTCGAGAAAAAAAATGTGGAGGAAATCTGATGGATGTTTTGTGATAAAAACCATATTGCTTAATATAAAATAGAGTACGAATTTTATAACATAGACCTTTGTATATTGGTGTTCACATCACAAAGGTTTCCTTGTAAGTTGTACCTCGTACTAGTGTTCTAGTTCTATAAGGCTTCATATGGCTGTTTCATATACAAGATTTTAACTTTGTTGGTAGTTCTCGATTGTTGGAACCAACATGGGCTGTTTGATGGACACCATTTAACTGCTGTTTCCTTAAAAGAATTGGGGGAATGCTAGCAACTTTCTCTCTAACCTTTTCTTTTGGATTTTTTCCCTTTTTTGCTTGATATGTGTCATTCTCTTTACACTTCAAACAATGTTATTAATATATTATACAAGTTAACTTTTACTTTCCAAGTTTATCCTTATTAAATGTATTCAATTTATCCAAAAAAAATTCACAAATTTCTTACCATCTTATTAAATTTTTTTCAAACGTCAATTATTTTTTTATAAAGAAAATGTCTGTTTTTTTTTCAAAAAAGATGAAATGTCTGTTGTTTTTAAAACACAAATGACTTTTTTCTTTTTCTTTTTTTTATCTAAACCCTTTGTGTTAAAAAAAGAAAAAGAAAAAAAATGGGACATTTCCTCTTAAAATCAGATATTTTCTTTAAAAAAAAATAATTGATGTTAGAAAAAAATTAATAAGATGGTAAGATAGTTGTGAATTTTTTTTGGATAAATTGAATACATTTAATGAGGGTAAACTTGGAAAGCAAAAGTTAGCTTGTATAATATATTAATGACATTGTTTTAAGTGTAAAGAGAAAAAAGGAAGAAGATCCAAAGAGAAGGTTAGAGAGAATGTTGCTAGAATTCCTCAAAGAATTTATGCTCATTCATGTACACCTTTCTGATTGTGATGAAGATGAGTTATACAACGAAATAAACACATACCAGATAACTCTGAGTTTTGATACATAATCACACCTGGTGTACATTTTGGATAACTTATCCGGTTTGGATAATCACACTTAGTATAGATTTTGGATAACTTATCCGGTTTTGATAAAGAATCGCACTTGGTATAGAATTTGGATAACTAGAACTACATCGGATTGATGATCACCTATCTGCTCTGCTCGGTTTGAACTTCAGAAAAGTTATTCATTTTGGATAAAATTTTGAGTAACACAAATTTATGATTATCCAAATTTGTTAAACCAGTCATTAATTCAATTCAAACCTTCTGATCAGAATAAAAGTTTGATTAGGATACTTGTTGGTCTCACTAATGCATATAAATAGAGCATACTTCTCTGATCATTCTCATATTGTGTTTTTCTTTGTTACTTCAACAATGGCGATCTCCAAGTTTGCATTTTGTTTTTGTTTATCGATAGCTATGCTTAGCTTGTACGCTAATGCCACCGAAGTTTCACACGATGGAAGAGCCATCACCATTGATGGTAAACGAAGACTTTTGCTATCCGGTTCAATTCACTATCCTCGAAGCACATCAGGGGTAAATTTTATTCTTAGTGAAATACGATTCAGTGTTTCTAATGTGTTTTTCTGTAATCAAATTAACTCATGCATATGTTGTGCAAATGCAGATGTGGCCAGACTTGATTAGGAAGTCAAAGGAGGGTGGACTAGATGCCATTGAGACTTATGTCTTTTGGAATGTGCATGAACCAGTTCGTCGCCAGTATGATTTTACTGGTAATCTCGACCTTGTCAGGTTTCTCAAAACTGTTCAAGACGAAGGACTTTATGCTATTCTTCGTATCGGTCCATACGTTTGTGCTGAATGGAACTATGGGTACATGTTCTGTCAAAATTTTCTGTTTCATATTCTCTACACTTTTTTTTGTCCCAAACACAATCTGATTGTTTGCATATTATCAACAGAGGACTTCCTGTTTGGCTGCATAATCTGCCTGGATGTGAGATTCGAACTGCTAATGATGTTTACATGGTAATTTCAATGCCTGTCATTTTATGTCACCTAAATTCTAATATTATGCTAACAAAATAAGTGAAAACCTTTAACCTCTTTGTTCTATTTTGCAGAGTGAGATGAAGAATTTTACGACCTTGATTGTTAATATGATGAAAAAGGAGAAACTTTTTGCATCCCAAGGTGGCCCAATTATTATTGCTCAGGTATATGCATATAAATACAATTATTTTGAATTTATTCATATATTATACAGACATATATATTCATTGTGATAATCTAAATTTGTTATTATTATTTTTAGATTGAGAATGAATATGGCAATGTGCAATCATACTATGGAGATGCTGGCAAAGCATATATGAACTGGTGCTCAAATTTTGCCCAGTCTCTTGACATTGGAGTTCCATGGATTATGTGCCAACAAAGTGATGCTCCCCAACCAATGGTAAAATTTGCTCCCTCTCTTTTTTTTTTATCCTAAATTATTTATATTAATTTGGTTATGTATGATTAATTTTTTTATTTATTCAATTCTTTATTATCAGATAAACACATGCAATGGCTGGTACTGTGATAATTTCAAACCAAATAATGACAATAGCCCTAAAATGTGGACTGAGAATTGGACTGGCTGGTAAGTTTTTGAATCTTACATGATTTTTTTATTCTTTTTTTAAAATTATTTATTATTCTTTGGGTAAAGTTTTCCTAAATTTATATAATGCATAAATCAGGTTCAAGAGATGGGGTGGTAAAGACCCACTTAGGACCGCTGAGGATCTTGCCTTCTCTGTTGCAAGATTTTTCCAGACCGGAGGAACTTTCCAGAATTATTACATGGTTGGTACATTGATTATTTTAAGATTATTCATCGGATATGTATTGTTTCATGTAAAACACTTTTTCTAACTGTTATGTATCTCTGTGTTTGCGTGTGTTTGCGTCTATCCTTAATTAGTATCATGGTGGAACAAACTTTGGTCGAACATCAGCTGCATATATTACCACAACTTATGATTATGATGCTCCTCTTGATGAATATGGTAAGCGAATCGTCGAATTCAAGTTCTACACAGTTCTTATATTCAATTTCTTACATATTTTCTTTTTACAGGTAACTTGAACCAACCTAAATGGGGGCATTTGAAGCAACTTCATGAGATTCTGAAATCCATGGAGTATACTCTCACCCATGGCAATATTACCACCATCGATTTTGGAAACTCTGTTTCAGTAAGTTTATGATTTGGGATCAATTTACTAATTGATGTTTTATAGACTTTAAAATTGGCACAGTTGACTCATTTTTGTTATAAATATTTATGTATTTTAGGCCACTATGTATGCAACAAATGATTCAGCAAGCTGCTTTTTTGGCAATGCAAATTCCAGCACTGATCATACAATCACTTTCCAAGGAAACATATACACCATT